TCACGGTTACGTTATATTATAATCAGTAAGCTTTTCCAGCATTCCTGGTATTTGACTAGAAGTCATGATTTCTGGAATTCATTCACTAATGAAATTTTAACGTTTTACTGTAAAAATATTTTACGAAAAACCTATAAAGTATGTTGTTTAGTTGAATAACATTTGTAAAAAAAAAACAGAACATTTTAGGCTGTAAAGATGTTTACTTGTGCCTGGACTCGTAACGCATTTTAAAAGGTGGCACGCCCGCCAATCGGGTCATTGCCCCCTAAGACCTTTGTGACAAAACTTGTGGGAGATGTGCCAGAGTGCCCGCTGTTATGGAGCTGCTTTTACGTGTTACTGCCATGGTGCATTCAACTTTGTTAAAATAAAAACCAAATTATATTAAAGATCTTACTAATACAACACATGTCCAGTTTAAAATTATAATATATCTTAATTTTATTACGCCGGTTATAATCAAACGATCTGTTTAGCTAAAACTACTATTTTAATACAATTCGCAAGTAAACAAATTAAAATGATGATGAGCATCATATCACGTCGTGTTCTAAAAATAAAACATACGAAATCTAACAAAATAACAATCGTAACGACATTTCAACAACTTCCGTATAATTACCGCGTTTTGGTTTTTCTAATAGCTATTCATTTCACTCCTACGCACTGTAATAACGGGATCATTCAAATAGAAAGAAACAAATGATGGACTGCTCTTTAATTTCATACCAAATCAATACCAGCAAAAAGTTATTCAACTGTTCACGTCGAAGGAGGTCAAAGTACCTTTTTGCTTTTAGTTTTTTTTTTATTTGTTGTAATTTATAGCCGCAAAGATTCTCGTGAAGTATGCCTATCGCACTTGGATCTTCTAGAGCCAATTGGTCTAAAATTCCTCTATAAAACTTTTGTATACAAATTCCAATAGCCGTATTGTAACTGTTGTTGAGGTCTGCCAACTCGTATCGTGTTCAATCAATGGTCACCATGACAATGCTATTTTTTCGACTGACAGCCAACGACCTCGGCGGATGATCGGAACACGAAGGTCCTAGGAACTTTTTTCTTCCGTGTTTTTGTTTTACGATCAATCTGCAGTGTATTCATTGTCCATGACATTGATGCTAAATGAAGTGTTGAGTCTGGAGGTTTTGGACAGTTACCTAAATGCTAATTATGTATTACTGTTTTTGTTGGCCAAATTCCAATGCTGACAACAATTATTATGACTTTGGACATGCCCAATTACCTCTGTTACTATAATAACATTTCATTACGGTATTCACTACGATCGCACACAGATTGGTATGTGGAATGCGGCTATGAGACTTTTGCAGACAATACACGTGTAGATTTACTTTTTGCTCTGAACGCAGGATGGTTAGAAAGGTAATAAACTGCACAGACTGGCCTTTTTTTAAACAGTGAAGACTACGTAAATGACGATATATACACTTTCAACAAAGAATTTTCTCCGTTTGTATAATTCATATAAATTAAGAGATACTATGTACAGTATAGTAGCAATGTGAAATTTCAAAAAGCTTATGTATGCTATTATCACTAATAAATGACAAGTGTTACTCGTAATCTAGAATTATGTAAATTTTCGAGAAGTGTCAGGTCAATGGTCGCAAAACTCGAATTCGATGAGAGGTTTCGAAACGCAGATTTTTTGGAGGAAATCACTTTGAAACAAAATAAATAACAGAATTTTTGTCTTTAAATTGTCTATGGAAAATCGAAAAATAATTTTTGTGACAAAATGCAATTTATAAACAATAAATAAAGTATATGGTACTATTATACCATTGTCTGGTGTCACCTATAACAAAATTCTATTCGATATGAAATGCGATACTTTAGTTTTACTTCGCACGTTTTTTTATTCACTTTGTCAGTCTATTTCGTCACTTTATGGATGGATATGACCTGCCGTATCTATTCAATTATGCTACACAAAGCTCGCTGAATACAGGCCAAATAGACAAAGCAACGACTGAATAAAGGAACAAATCAAATCGATAACAGTATTAAATTGCATCGTGCATGCAACGATTCCATGAACCCTTCTGGGCTCTGTTCTTAACGCCGTCTCGTATCTAGGCTATCGGTTTACCAGGGCTGCTTAAGATCATAAAACTTATCGGTACAATTTATGACTTATTGTTCTGTGCAGTACTCTTAATGATTTAACAGTTATACTCGAATAGAAATTGCAACCGCAGTCACGAGTGGCGTACAATTCCTGATATTGTTAGTCACTGTCTTCTCTAATGTTTACGTAATTGTGTTTTCAGTATTATGAACGTATACGATATACGTTTTCATTGTTAGCAGAGCTGAACAGTTCGTGCTGTAGAAGTCGTGATCTGAGTTAGTTCTACCGTCGTGTGAGATTTACCACGAGAAAGTTTTGGCGTTAAAGTATGAAATCGAGCTTGATACCTCGTTCGCTAACTCGCTGACTCTATTAACATGTCAGATCTTTGCAAATGACTGCCGCTCTAATAGGACTGTCTATTGTTAACTGAATTAAATGACGCTTAATCTTGCACAACAGTCCACAGTTTGTACCTCATTAAATTAATTGCCCGTCATCTACATTTGCTCCGTCAGTAAGACTTCTTCAGAGGCGCAATCATTTAGATGTCAATGCATTTTAGGACCTGTAATCATAATACTATGTATATAATATGATGTATCTCCTTAAGATTTAGTCTTTACCCGCTAGAAGTCCAAACAATCAATAGCAAGACGTTGTCTGGTATGTTATGTATGACATAACATTTGCTTCTCCGCTGCGTGATATTCAAAATATGGCTTTGTTTAAAAACTTTACACGTGCATATAGCAAAGACGGTTTATTGCTCAGTTGCATATGCTGTGATATGAGTCACAAGTCACGTGTCAATTGGCTTTAAGACGGCCGACATTAACGGAATGAACTTTAGTGCAGTCGAAGAAAACACCTTTGTGCAAAAGAGACTTGTGGTAAGAGCACGGCTCAGGTTTTAGATTTCTACTTTAATGGCCGTCGGATATCTCGATCTAATGTCGACGATGACAATGTTTGCAGCCATGAATATCGCTTGGGGATTTTCTGAACGAAAAGTCACGTTTTAAACAGGACCGGATTTGAAGTTAGAAGTTTTAGAACTCACCTATACACAAGATTTTTTTTTATTTAGCATGCGTCTCCTGACATTGAGCGTCTTATGAAATGATGCGCCCCTTGGTCGGGCTCTAGTGGTAAATATAGGCATTGTTTTTGAAGAGATCAGTACTGGAAACGTTATATGAAATGTAAATAAAGGAAACAAGAACCAAATCCTAGTATTTATTTCGAAGTGGACGACTGGTTTATTGCGATGTAATATGATTTTAAATAGACTACTTTAACTAAACTATCGGATAACCACGTATTTGAGTCGAATTTTGTTGGATATGTTTCGGATCAGTCTGTGGTATGATAGATTTATATGATGCTATGAGTATTTACAGACATCTGTTGTCTATAAAGCATCATTACAATTGTGTTTAGTGAAAATTTACTCTACGACGCCGAGAGAGTTAAGCCTCGTAACACGATTAGCAACACACAAATTTGCAACACTGTACGAATTAAATTAGCGTGTAGCCAGGAAGTCGTGATGAAGTGTCTGTTCTCTTAACACTCGACAATATGTTAAACCGTAGAACGCTTTCAACTTTTCCTTTAGAAAAATACCAAGCGAAGAGATTAGTTATTGCTTTGATAAAATAATTAACAGCATTAATTGCTGTAGCTCTATCGATAATATTAAAACAATGACTCAGACGCTATTTAATTTCTCATCCTTAGTTTGTCTTATACCTAAGTATGGTTAACAGTCATTGGCAAAATGGAAGACAAACACATTAACTTATTGTTTTCGTTGAGCTGTTAAACCCAATGGTTTTAGCAATTTCTTGGCAGTACACCAACCGTTGACACCAATAAATTGTAATCGCATTTATAGCGTTGTATCGAAATTCATGTCTCGAGGACGGGCAGTTTAAAAAATTTCATTGCCGTGATGGATTATGGCATTTAGCACGCATAAGTCGATTTGGTTTTTAAACAAAAATGTTATAGCTCTGAGAGGCCACGTTTCAAATCACAAGACCCAATTCCGGAAAGTACCGAGAACGAGTGCCAGCAACAACTATTGACTAATTAAAATTGAATCACTACGACTTTAATTTCTTTCAAGGGGTTCTGTCCGAACCCCGACGTGGTAAATCAGCGTTAGTTGACTTCGTTCTTTTAATACCTATGTACCTAACCCCTGGAACAAAAATCCTGAAATTAAATAAAGAATATAAAAAAGCCTTTTCATTCATTTTTTATTTACGTCGTGTTAGAAGGTTTCTTCTAATCGTCTAAGACAATCCAGTATAACCTACTGTGGTGTTTAATAATGCCTTCCAGTAGCTGGTTGATAATACAATGACGTAACTACCAGTCATATGAAACTAACGTGTTCTTAAAGACGTGCCGTAACGTATACGTTAGTAGGCGTTTGAAGGTCATACTTGAATTCATACGCTTCAATGGATAACAGAATAAATATTGACAGGCATGTGCCTCGCTACGGTAATAGATGACATAATGCTACATGGAAACCTCTAGATTATCAGCATGTTTTTAATATGATCATTGGTTTGCTGGCTTTGGTATTGGGTACTTTTAAATTTAACGCACCAAAATCGAATCTGAAAGGAATGCTTTCCTATTTTGATTCCGTAATTGATTTGCTTCTGCATTTCATACGCATCGTTGGTCCTTACCGTTAACGGCAAAGTTATAAGATTGGCATGTTATTTTCATATCACCATTAAAACATGGTACAAGTGTACGGCTTCTTAGCTTCAGAATTCTGAATCCCATAACGTACAGACCAGGTCACGATTTAGCAATAATTCACAGGACTTTGACTTTATGGTATTTCATTTGTGGTGTTTTTTGTCTGCAGTGGAGAATCCACACTACGACCAGGGCTACTTTGGACCATGGAGAGTTTGCAAGAAACTTCTTTACAACAGGGAAAAATGTGGATCAGACGTCTCAAAGTTCCAGCCGCTTTGTGAGTATATTTTGGTTGTTTTCACGAGTATCCTCCGTATTTCCATGTTGACCTCGAGTAGATGTAATTTCTATGATTAAAATTGTATGTTTTCGTGATGGAACCAGTTTTTGGCGATGTAATTGTATAATACACAAAGTTTCACTTGCTTCTGGTATTTTTAAAACTGATTGCTGGGTGGAGACCAATAAGGATCTCGTTATTAAGTTTTTATATTTTACAGCTTATGAGAGACAAAGCCGAGTTAACCTAATGGTTTCTCAAGCAGTGGCCGTAGGGTCGAGCGAACCTCTGAGTTTCTCGGAATATCTGCAAAATTTAATGTTAAATATACCATGAGTTTTTTTAGTGAAGGAAGACATTATAATGAAACCTGCACGTCGAAGGTCACAGTCTTTGGAAAACGTGTGGGTAACCCAACCGGCATAGGGCCCACGTGACGGACTAAGGCCTAAAGCTAAAGTGGGACGTATAAATGGGTTGATTATATGGAAGAAAGAGATAGATACTATTTCTTTTTTTCTGTCCCGTGTGGGAGTTTTCTCGTAATTAATAGTACTAGAATTCATAAAACAGAATGAAAGACGTAGTTTAAAAGTCTTTTGATAAAGGGACGATGGGAACTCTGTGTTCTTAGTTGCCTCATTTATATTTAAGATATTTCGTCAGTATAATGCAAATATAATTCGCATTTCGCTGCTTTTATACAATAACGCAGTATTCCAGAATACTACGATTTTGATCTAAGCATACAGCGACTAAAGCTCCCATCTTCGTCCGTTAAAAAAAATTAAGTAAGGAAATGGGTGGGTGCACGCTAAAGAAACTATTTGAATTCGACTCTGAAAACGTCTTATTTTTTAAGCAATATTCTAAAGTTGTAGTCTCAAATTGTTAAAACGCTATATAGTTAAATGCATCGCTTTTCCTATGCAACAATTTTCTTTTGTTTGTCCTCAATTCGTCTTTCCCAATTATTTCTTTAAAGTTATGTTCAAGCTTCACTCATTGTGAAAGCTTTTCAAACAACTTATCTATTATTAAAAGCATTATTAATACGCCCTTGGTCTAAATTCCGATCAAAAACATCAATGTAGTCTGGTTTTCTTCAAAACTGCACATTGATTAATGAGCGTTGTATCTTTAGTTTTTAAGAATGTTTCTCTTTGAAAATCTGAAACTGGTATTTCATAACTGTGTAATGCATTATTTTACAAAGTTACAAAATATTTTCATTTATTTCACATTACATATATAATTTATTGTGCCACCTATGTAAGCTGTACGCATTGACCTACCAATGCGGTATGTAAAAAATTGAATGAGAGAAATTTTTCAATGAATTAAATGGTTTGAGGTAATTGAAATCACGACAGGTATCAAATTCATCAACCATTGCTCCCACTGTCCACTGCTGGGCACGGGTCTTTTCTCAAGTGAGGGTTTTAGGCCTCCCTGGTCCAATGCGAGTTGAGGAGTTCACACGTTTTCCGAGGTTTGTGAACAATCATCGACGTGCAGGTTTCATCAAGATGTTTTCTTTAACCGAATTGGTAATTTAATGCTAACCATGGCAAAGTTCGCTCATAAATTCCGAAAAGCTCAGAGGTGCTAGGCCGGATTCGATCGAGCCCACGGCCTCTGCTTCCGAGGCAGTAGGTCAAACGATTAGGCTATCACGGCGTTTCCATCGGGTAGTAATAAAAACTCCAACAAGTAAATTATAAATGTGCTTATTCAAAATATGAAAAGTACTGTGTTATTAACTGAGCTATTGGTCTTGTCCAAATGGGGACAAAACTCTTGCTTTTTGTAATGTATACTCTATAAAAATAATAAGAAAACAGAAACAACCCAATGAAATACTGAAATTCCAAAAAGTCTTGCTGGCGTAAAACTACTCTATTAACTTTATCATATATTCATCATCATCATCATATACAGCCTGACTTCACCCACTGCTGGGTATAGGCCTCCAAGTTTCTGTGCCACTCCCCACGATCCCGTTATCTAATCTCACCCAGACTTATGAGATTTGTCAACTTGTCTCAGGGTGACGGGCACAGTGGCAGTGCCCGTCAGATCTTTGTGATGTAAAGCACTGCGGGGCACTACAGTAGTTATGGACAGGCATATCGCTTACCACCAGGCGTGCGAGTTGCTCGCTCCGTCACTTGCTATTGTAAAAAAAATCTGTTTATTTTTTAGTAACTCATTTTAACGCAGAATTTAGTATTATAATTAGCCTTAGTTCGCTACAATTTCATTCGTTTTTCGTATGATCCCTATTTACATCCTGGCAGTTACTGAGTGGATCTGATTGTTTACATAATATGCTTTACGTTACATTTCTTATAATTCGATATCGCAATAGGCAAAGTATATTTATCTAAACTTCAAAGAACACACAAATACCTACCTCTGAAATCTTTGAATTGCATTTTGTTCTATATTTTTATGTGTAAAGTATACACAAAATGCAATGTTAGTAAAAATGTACTTATGAAATGAAACTATTTTTCCGGATTTAAATCGCGTATATTTGTTTTTTCAAACAAACTTCTTAAGGTCCTGGGGTTTGTCAAACCCCAGGTCCTTGCAAAAGATCCGTTATCTACCCAGGATGATGCGAGAGGCCATTGAAATTAAAAAACATCCTAATTTCAACAGGGAACATGGTTTCTCAGTACCATCAGTTTGGGATCCAGTATTTCCTCTAACGAAAAATCCCAAACAGACATAAGACTTAATATTAATATGTTTTAGTTTATTCTAATTTCTATTGTTAATTAATAATAAATTGAACTTAATAAAAATTCATTCAATAAAATAATTTGTAAAACTTAATGTTGCGTAAATTGGAATGTTTTCTTTGTAAAATTAAAAATAAGGTATTTAATTAATAACTATTGTAACTGTAGTGAAAAAAAAAGGGTGGTTTGCATCAATATTAGACATAACTGGTTGAAGACTGTACCACCTCAGTCAACCGTGACCATGAGACCTGTAAAGGGCCCGAAACGTTGGTTTGTTTCTGTCCCTTCACTTGGTATTATAAAATAGTTATTTGTTATGCAATGTTACAAAGTTGCATGACGCGAGTGCTTGTATTGAATCCTGAATACAGCGAGGGTTTCAAGGCACAAAACGCAAAACAATTTTTTCTGCCGAGCGAAACACACAACTTTTCATCTCACTATTGAGAGGAAAATGGCAGATGAAAGAAAAACAGTTGAACTATATATATAACAAATCAGGTTAGTTCTTCGAAGAATTAAAATAATTAAATAATTGTTTATCGTTGTCAATTTAATGTCAACAATAATAACAATAAAATGTACCAACGGATTTATATTACATAAATAATATCCGACAAATCGCGTGGTTTAACGTGTCATTATATTTTTTTTCATCGAAAAAAAAAGTTACGTGCACCACAGTCCATCGTCACGTTCGAATTCCAAAAACCATTTCCACGCTAACGTGGAAAAAATGCTTTTACGCGCCGACTTCTAATGAGAAAGAAAGACTTTCCGAGCTAGTGAGGTGAAAAAAATATTATTTGTTCTTAAAAGTCGGAAAACTCCTTAACGAAACTAAACGTACCTATGTATTTGTTTAAATTCATGTCAAAAGTTCATAAAAAAAAGGCAAGTGGAATGTCGTATACAATTTTGGTGCTGTACATTTTGTTGCTTCCAGAAAGTTTCCTGCCATGTTCCAGGTACATTAATCTTAACTAAATGTTACCAGTGACCTATTTAAGGGGACGCGCCCTAACTTTAGCCCGTTGTTAACGTCGACGATAATGGTGTTTGGATAGATAGAGCGTTCACCTTTCACGGTTTTAATTTAACTAAACGCTTCGCAGAGTTTAACAAACTTTTCCATTAGACTTGGGTGTAAATACTGTTTTGTGGAACAGTCGGGCGTGTTACCAGAGACTGACATGAGATGTCGCTGTACTAATTGCAATATTGAGTTTATTGAATATCGCGATGTCTTGCTCCGATGATAATATCATATATTATTAATTTTGAATTGAAATTACTCTACTAGTTTGTTATAATTATTTATGATGAAATTCCTTCGATCTCTGATATCTGAATCTGATAGGACTCGAACTTGCGTCTATAAGTCAAACTAGAGTTTAGTTTAGTTTAATATCTTTACTTTTTTAAATATTCAAAAGATATTTGACATACGGCGCAATATAAAGTCACTCCTAAAAAGTTGTGTGTTATCGTGCCGTTTACGAAGGAGGGTATCAGTAGTCGGTAACTTCCGGAACCTGGAACGACGGGAACTAAGGTAACGAGTGTCAACATGTAACCGTTGAAAGGTAAAAGGAGCCAAGCCACATTTAAATTGATGCTGAGTTTTTTTCTACAATACCAAGTAACGGGGCGAACAATTCGTGGGCTTAGTGGTAAGCGACACGCATGTCCATAACAGTTGCAGCGTCACTCAGAGCTTTAAACCCGCAAGGATCAGACGGAGGGTGACGGGCGCAATGGCCATTAAGACATAACGTCGTCTTACTTTTTTTTCACTTAATATTTCATTCATATTCACACACTGGCTTTTATCTATACTTAAAATAATGCATCCAAATTAACACCCTTGATAAGAAATTTAAAATAAATGCAAAGTTTTGCCATCTCCTGTATAATCACTCTTTTTAAGATACGAGCTTGAGAAAGTAAGGCATCGATAATGTGACAAGTCCCACGTGCCTGTAATTTGGCCGGGAAAAGTATTTGTATGGCCTACATTTATTTCTCTCGTGAGTTTGGGTGTTGTTCGTGGTTGTCTATGTGTATGTCCATCGCAACCGCGATACAGGGTTTCTCTAGTGCGGGGCTATGAGTTTATGCGTTATTTTTGTTATTATTATCTTAATGAAATGTTGTCGTCAACCTGAACGTGGTGGCGAGCTATGTAACAATAATGCGCCTGACATCACAGCATTTATGCTTATATACTGATATGAAACTAGA